ACTGGGAAGTTGCCACATTTAAATGGGTTCGACTTCCGGTTCATTTGAGAGCTTTCTGATTCGTGGATGGACCAGAACAGAGGTGTGGTTTGTGATGTAAGGTGTTATGGAAAGTCAAGGACAGAGATTAAGTTTGTTTAAAACAGACAGAAAGATTGTTGGAGAACTTCAGACTTCGTGGAGTCTCTCCTCCTAGTATCTGCTGTAAAAGTTAAACATGACATTTCTTTTCAGTAAACCTTTTAGTTGACCGAAGCCTGAACTTTGACACACTTACAAACTTGCTCATTGAAGACAGAAAAATCAAGAAATGCATATTAACCTGATTTCTTCTTTGAATGAGGAATAAAAATCATTACTTACTGTTTATGTAAAATAAAAACGAGTAGTTCTCTTCAACCTGTAAACATTGTTTGAACTAACACAATTTGATTATCAAAACATTTGTAAAATAGTAATGATCATAGAGAATTGTCTTTTCTACTTGATTAATTCAAGAAAGAAAGTCTCAGGATGGGTCAAACTGTATTTCTGGATGCAGATCAATGAAATGACAGTTTCTGTCCATCTGGTCAGTTTTGACATAGGCCTAGTCCACTACAGTTACATTTATATTTGATTATATGATGTGATTTTATAATAATGTTTCTACGTATACGGATTTTAAATTCCAGTTGAGACAACTTTAAAAATAATAAACCTTTGGAATTTTCACAGGAGACAATTAGTTTGGGATTTCAACAGACTGATCAAATTTTGCTTAATGTTTGATCTTTAAAAATACAACAAATTTGTTTTATGAGACACTGTTTTAAACATGAACGCTTTTCCTATCTTTATTATACACCTTATGAACACAAAGGAAAACAAATGTTTGTTTAATCTTTCCTATTATTTAGAGCTGCAAGATCCCCTGACTGCTAAAGATAGAATAAAGAGGTGTTGTGTCCATATACTGCCATTTATGCTGCAACGTGACAGTTTTTCTTTTTATTCCTAAGTCCATCCATTACGGTACTGGGTTTCTGCAGAGTCAGATGCTTATTTTTGGTTTTATTTTTGAATAATTTGCTCTTTATTAGTCCAAAATAATTGTTTCTTCATCATCTTCTACCTCTTATCCGTAGTTGGGTCACGGAGGCAACAGGTCCAGGGGAGAAACCCAGACATCTCTCTCTCCTCAGCACCACTTTCCAGCTCGTTCTGGGAGAGTCCGAGGTGTTCCCAGGCCAGAGAAGATACACAATCCCTCCAGCAAGTTCTGGGTCTTTCCCAGGGTTTCCTGGCGGGACCTGCCTGGAAACCCTCCAAAAGGAAGCATGCAGGAGTCATTCTAATCAGAAGATTGAACCACCTTAAATGACTCATTTTGGTGTGGAGAAGCAGCAATGAGCTCCAGAGCAGAACCACATAAAGCCAAGATGAGACCCGGAGGTTCCCAAACCAAACACCCTCCTCTCCCCAACTGAGCCTTGAGATCCTGCCATGATCACCACAAATGGGATCAGAGGCCAGCAGGCGTCCAACCAGCACCGAGAACGAGACGGACTTTGTGCCCAGGATGCAGACACAGCTCCTGGTTTGGTTCTACACGGACCAGACAGCCCTTAAGGCACCCCATGTGTTGGACACAAAGGTGAAGAGCGGGGCAGAGCTGTCACTGATAATTATTTAACTGTTTGACATCTTAAAATCTTAAAATGGGCAGCTCTGGCTGAGTGGTTAGAGTAGTCGTCCTCCAAAGCAAGGGTTGGGGGTTCGAATCCACCAGCTGTCACATGCTGAAGTGTCTCTGGGCAAGACACTGAACCCCTCGTTGCCTCCGATGCGTGTCCCATCAGTGTATGAATGTGATAAAGCTCTGATTAGTCTTTTTAAAGTGATTTTTTTTTCCAATTAGCTTTGTGTAGATCTAGTAGAGTGCTGTATGAATGGGTAAATGAGGACACAGATTGTAGAGAGCTTTGAGGTCGTTTTCACACCAGATAGTCCGGTAGACTCGGTTCGGTTTGGGACCAACATTCATGAGCTTTTGTGTACATTTGAGCTGGTGCATTTGCATTCACACTGCACTGTGCAGTCGAGCCAACCTGTTGAACCAACCTATTCCCCCGCTCACCTGTGGGGGCGCTGCACCAAGAACTACTGAAAGAAACGACACAAAAACCTCTGAAGACACGTCTTCTTCTTCTTCTGTAAATAAAAATAAAAACGGAGTGGCATCAAGTTTTAGCAGTTTTAGGAGTTATATTTTGTCATTTTTCAAAAATGGACTTAGCCTGAGCAGAAGATGAGACAGAAGACCATGGAGAATGTTGTTTTTCACACAAGTCAGCTGACGGCTCCATATAAGGTCAGAGCAATGCGTGTTTGTTTACCCTGTGGAGCGGGGTCGTCTGTTTACATTCACACTGTACACGAACCGCACTGGAGTTCGCTTCTACCGAACCGAGACCTAGGTTTTAGCCCGGGCCAGAGTTCGCCTTTTTGTTCCTTGACAGAGTTCGATGGTGCGTTCACACCTCCCTAAACGAGCCGGACTATCAAGGAAAACGAGCTAGAGCCGTGTAACACTGGACCAGCTCTTTACACTAACTGGGGTCTTTGAGGGGTCATGGGAGTTTGCCCATCCAGTCCATGTAGTCTTAGAGAAGGTGTTGACCGTGTTCCTTGGTACACTGTGGGGGGTGCTCCGCGAGTGTGAGTTTGGCGGCCCGTTGTTACTTGCTGTTCAGTCCCTGTACAAGCAGTGTGAGAGTTTGTTCACATTGCCTGTAGTAAGTCGGACGCCTTCGGGTTGGGAGTTGGTCTCTGCCAGGGCTGCCTGTTGTCACCAGTTCTGTTCATAACTTTTATGGACAGAATTTCTTGGTGCAGCCAGGGGGCAGAGAGAGTCCGGTTCGGTGGCCTCAGGATTCCATCCCTGCTATTTGCAGATGATGTGGTCCGGTTGACGTCATTGTCGGAAGAATGACGGATGGATTGGTGCAGCTTCTGTAGTATTGTGGACTCTGTGCCGGTTTGCTGAGGTGATGAGGGACCTGAGCTGTAAGATGAAGCTCTGTTTATCAGTCGGTCTACATTCCAAGCATCACCTATGGCTATGATCCCTGAGTAGTGACTGAAAGAACGAAATTGCGAATACAATTGGTCAATATAAGTTTTCTCCTTGGGCTAGCTGGAATCTCCCTTAGCGATGCAGTGAGACTTTTAGTTATCTGAGAGACATTTGGAGTAGAACCGCTGCTCCTCCACATTGAGAGGAGCCAGTTGAGGTGGTTCAGGCATCTGGTAAAGATGCTTCCTGAACAGTTAATTTCTAACTGGGAGGCCACCCGGGAGATGACCCAGGACACACTGGAGAGATTGTGTCTCTTGGTTGGCCTGGGAACACCTTGGAGTCCTCCCAGAAGAGGTGGCTGTGGAAAGAGATGTCTGGGCCTCCCTGCTCAAGCTGCTGCCCCCGCGACCTGACTTTAGAACAAGCGGCAGATAATGGATGGAACTTTGGCTACACTTGTAGGTGCTTGTTAGCAAAATATCACATCAACTCCTGGATGGATTTTACTGAAACTCCCAGAAAATAATCATCGAACGTGTGTTTAAAACTCCTCAACTTTTAGAGTCTACCAAATTCAAGATGACCACTGCAGCCAATCGACTTTAATCATCATAAAAATGGCTATAATCAAGTCAGTTATATAGATATCGACCTAAAATTATGAGTGGTAGTAGCTGAGAGTCATAACACACTGAGCTCAAAACGGATTATAGTTTCACCTGTGATTTGACCAAAACAGCTGTAGCTTTTAGTGTCTTTAGTTAAAACTGGCACGAAAGGCAGCGGGACGACCGACTTTAAACTGTAAAAGCGTTTTGTTCGTTGTCGTTTTATTTTGAAATTCCAAAGCGGAAGTTATTCACGTGCTCCTCCGGGCTTGACGGCAGCGATTTGAAGACCTCGGGAGTCTGAGACCCGAGACTCAGGCAAAGTTAGTCAGCATGGCGAGACCCGCGGACCAGGAGTGAACGGGTCCGGCTTCCCCTCAGAGAAACAAGCCGAACAGAACCGAACCCGCGCAGCCCGACCGGAAACGAACCCAGCGATGCGAAGTGCAGCAGCAGGTACGAACCTTCCAGCTAGCTCTTTGATTTCCACACTAGTCCAGTCTCTTTAAAAACAAACAAACAAACAAACAAACACCGCCCAGGTTGAATGAGTTAACTTCTGAACAACTTGTCCTCCGGTTGAAACGACGCGTAGTGTAAATGAGTAAAGTGTGGTAAAGGTCACCGCCTTCACGGGTCAAAGCTAACCAACTAACTTCGGAGTGAAGTTGTGGCGTTGGACATTTAAAGACAGGTCCACACGATGAGACAGTCTGCTGGGTGTCCTCACAGGAGGACGGCGGTCCAAACAGCCCCAGGCTCGGACAGATCTACTAGAAATTAGGCACAGACGGAGCAGTCCTGCGGATTAATCCAGGGGAGGACCGGGGGGTGCAGCAGCACCGACAGCTGTATTTTTAGGAATGGGTGGATACCGAGAGCATTTTTCGACATTTATTTTCGTCTGAGCAGGCGGCAGCTATAAATGCTCGAGTCTGGGAGGAGAGGTGCTGCAGCAACAGGCTCTGCCTCTAAAAGTAGCTGGAGGACAGAGCTGCTGCTGAATTCACTCAATCTAAAGTCTGGACTTCCTCCTGCAGGATTAGGAGGGATCCCCTGAAGAAGAATGCCAAGAGGCTGAAGCTGCTGGACACAGGCTGAGCTGGAAGAGTGCTGACTCATCAGATCTCAGAGCCTCAGCAGCAGCTGGGAGAAGGTCCCCACCCCGACCTGCACAAGAAAAGGTGGTTTTAAAATCCACACCTGCTGCTGCAGGCTGCACGGACACACAGAATGGTGTGAAGTCTAATCGTTACTGGTTGCCACACACTACCATCACCTGTTAATCTGACCTTCTCTGAGCTCCGCTCCGGGTTGCCACCTTGCAGACCATGATGTTTCGTGACCAGGTGGGCGTGTTGGCCAGCTGGTTTAAGGGATGGAACGAGTGCGAGCAGACGGTGGCCCTTCTCTCTCTGCTGAAGAGGGTGAGCCGGACCCAGGCCCGCTTCCTGCAGCTGTGTTTGGAGCACTCCCTGGCTGAATGCACGGAGCTGCAGGTCCTGGAAGGAGAGGCCAACAGTCCAGGTAGGTTCATCAGACACGCTTTACCCCAGGTGTGGCTGCAGGGCTTTTCTTTCTGCTGCAGCACCTTTATTGTCATGCCAGTTATTTGTACATTTAGACATCCCGGCATGTTTGGATGGTAATAAAACATCTGCAGGCTGTTTCCTCTCTGATACTCACTTCAGTCTCAGGCTGATTTCTGATCTGAAACAAGGACGCTGCAGTTTATTCACGAACTTTAAAAACGTCTGGGGGTTTTGGGTTGATGCCGAGTCATCATTTTTTAAATGATTTAACTCTGAACGACTTCGGCAGACGTTCAGGCATTAAACTGTCCTGCTCATTCATGTGGTTGTGACAATAACTTCTGGTATTTGTAACTTTTGAATTAACTTTATTTAGTCATTTGCCTCGGATGAATTCATTTAGAAATCCTTAAACTTTCTGCACTTTGAATTTCTTCACTGAGCTTTTAGCTTTCAGCTACTGTTTGGCTTGTTTAAATGTATTTTTCTGATCATTTTTTTTGCTTGTTTTAAATGTTGTTACCTTTTAGCTAGTTTTGGATTTGTGGTTGCTCTTCTGCTCATTTTAGCTGTTTGCTGCAGTTTTGTGCATTTGGTGTTTTTTACCAGATTGTTTTAACTTTGAAAGCTTCAACAGTTTTACAGCAAGTTATTCAGCACTGCTTTTTTGCAAGAAAAAAATGCTAATTTGTCTAGTTTGTTTATAAATTCAGATGAGTATTTTCCCTCTACGCTAAAGCTGCATCCTCTTAATCCTGGTGAAATGCAATAAAAGCACATCAGACACACACAGGTATTCAGGGGCATGTCCTGTCTGGGAGTTACTAAAACCAGTAAATGTTAAGGGTGGTGTGTGGCAGCTGAACTGACACCTGGGGGACACTGGTTGTAGAAAGACGTTGGTGTTAACTCTGTCGGCTGGATGACTGGACGGAGTCGTCAGCTGGTCAGTGTGCCATCCCATACGTCCTGCACCTCCCTGAGCTGGTATCACGCCAAAACACCCAGAGGGGGGTTTCTGGCTGGCTTCTGTTGCATCACACTGCAGCACAGCCATGGTAACAAAAACCGTGGCAACCGACTGGGCTCACGACAAACAGAATGAAGCTCTGCTGCAGCGGAGAGCAGGAGCCTGTGTGCACCTGTGGCAGCATCTGCATGGATGATCACATCTGCACAGATTGCACCGGTGGCAGGAGGTCTGCGGCTGCTGTTAGTACAGGCTGGTCTCGGTTGTTGGACAAAGTTGGACACCTCAAAGCTGACTCTATGAAATGTTCTCCTGAACCGCTCCCCAGCTCCAGCTTGTTCGGCTTTGATCTTTAACAGAACATTCAAAAGTGGGGGGAGGCAACAGAGGGACTTACTACTCAACAACAGGTTCTGCTGGCTCCTAAATAAGTCAGAACACGGTTCACTGGGTGAATCAGAGACTCCTCACCTTCAGCCCAGTTGTTCCCTGTCGCAGAGTGAAGAGGTGGAGCTGAAAATACCCTCCGTCCAGATTCAGACAACTTTTATTTATCCCCAAAGGGCAATTGAGTTTGACAGTTTCCAGATTTCCACCCTTGCACACACACACACACATGCTCATATACCTAAAAGCAGTAAAAAAGTTTAAAATGTATTAACAGTATGTATTGCACAACAACAAACTGACAGAGATCAGTCCGTGCACGTTGCGAGCATGATGACTTGGGAAAAAATGTGAGGTACTGACTTCCATTTTGGTGTGTAGCTGCGTCTAGACTGTTCATTCAACCTTTATTTATACAGGCTAAAACTGAGAGGGTGAACAAAACCATCTCAAAGTTAAAAGTAGCAAAATGCTAGCAAAAAGCTCAAAGTAGCCAAAGGCTGGCTAAAATCTAAAAGTAACAAAAGGTTAGTTTAAAAGGAGTAGAACAGAAGCTAAAAGTAGCAACTAGTTAGCTTAAACAACAAAGTCCATGCTCAATAATCCAGGTATACAATCCAACATTTTTCAGTCAGGTCATCTGGACAGTTTCTTTTTTTGTGCTGAAACGTTTCACCTTCGATCCTGAAGACTTCAAATCCTTCTGGATCGAAGGTGCAACGTTTCAGCACAAAAAAAGAAACTGTCCAGATGACCTGACTGAAAAATGTTAGTTAGCTTAAAGCTAAAAGTAGCAACTAGTTAGCTCAAAGTTGTAGAATAGATGCTAAAGCTAAATAGTAAAAATGTTAGCTTAAAGCTAAAGTAGCACCTGATTAGCTAAAAGTAATAGACGCTAAAACTGTTGCCTTGCAGCAAGAAGGTCCTGGGTTCAATCCCTGGTTGGACCTGGAGTCTTTCTGGGTGGAGTTTGCATGTTCTTCTCGTGCTTGTGTGGGTTTTCTCCAGGTACTCCGGTTTCCTCCCACGGAACAAAAACATGCATGTTAGGCTGCCTTCAGGCCCAGGCCTCCTTTGCAAAAGAGATCTGTAACCTCAATGGGATTTACCTGGTTAAATAAATGTTACTAAATAAATAAAGCTAAATGTAGTAAAAATGTTAGCTTAAAGCTAAAAGTAGCAACGGTTTAGCTTAAAGCTAAAAGT